TGCCTGTGGCTGGATGGGCAAGTCTTTTTAATGCTGGGATTAGTAGGATGTCCATTTGCACAAAAGCATAAGCTCCACTCTTTAACCTCACTCTATCCCAGGTTAACTCCTCTGAGTCATTTCCTAATCAACTCAGGACTCGAGTGAGGGGAAAGGGTGCTCTTTATGGAGCCCTTTCAAAATCCCTCCAAAAAGATCAGGAAAACTAATGCTACAAGCCCCTTAGAATAGGTTATTAATACTCATCAAAGGGGGGGGGGGGCTGAATTTTCTGGCTATTGAGACAAAAAAGAAAACATGACCAGTGTGGCAGATGCAACCAGAGGCCACTCAGTACACACTGCCCTCACCTCCCTGTCCCTCCTCCCCCATACGGACTGGGAAATCTAAAACTTGCCTTCCCCAAAATCAGGTGAGCCAGAATACAACGCTACTGCTACACTGACTCCGAGTTTCCTGTACAGTGATGCTAAGGAGTGATTTCCTACACAGTATTTCTTGCCTTTTTTCCAATTATAAAAGATATGTTTCTGGGTTTTCAGAGTCAGAAAGAGTAAAATCTCTCTCACTCCCTTCCCTACCCACTCTGCAGGATGAGTTGCAGCGTTTGCATAAACATAATCCCACTTAGTCCACGAAAAACCCCACTGAGTACAGTGAGAGAATCAAATGTAATAATTCTCATGTAGAAAGAGAGGCTGGGAGTCCTGGCCGGTTTTGCTCAGTGGTTAGAGACCCGGGTTCGGTTCCCACTAAGGGCACGTACCTCGTTTGCAGTTTGCTCCCAGCCTGGGTTGGGGTCGTGCAGGAGGCAGCCACTCCGTGTGTCCCTTTCACATCGATGTTTCTCTCTCCTCCTGTCTCTCCCTCCCACGCTATCTGAACAAAAATGGAAAAATGCCCTTGAGTGAGGATTTTTTAAAAAAGAAAGAAAGAAAGAGAGGCTGGGAGAGATGAAGGGATAGGTCTGAAGTCTCGCGACCAGGCACTGGTAGGGCCAGACTGCAAAACAGCTTTCTGCCTCCTCTTGGGTGCTTGGGAGCTCTTTCTCAGGCACTGTGCCTGTTCCGACCCTTCCCTGCAGTGTGAAGTCAGGGCTGACCCCAGGGAGGCAGGACGGCTGCCCACACCACTTGGCCAGTGGCCGGCCCATGCCAATCATCACTTATCCTGAATAGCACCCAATCAGTGTTGGGGCTTTCTATTCTAAAAATGCATCCCCCTCCCCCTTTTTTCCCTTTTCCCACTGATTAGCTACTCTTTCTCATCTTCCTCTTGATTCATAAATTTCTTGTCCCCAAACAATCACATTCTTAATACCCACGAAGTGTCCTCTGTGCTCCAGGTCAGCACCAAACCTCTCTTGTTGCTGAAGGAGTTAGGCAGTTAGTGGGGATAAGGGCTGTTCTATCTCATTTATAACCACATCCTCCTACAGGTAAAGCTACCAGAGTGTTAGCATCACACTTTCAAAAGATACATTTACACATTTACAATCCATTTAAATAGTTTTAACATTAGTTGATACATTTCCTCCTGCTGCAATTACTAACCTGCTGCCTGTTTTTTTGTTTTTTGTTTTTTCTTCTGAGGTTGTAATGAGAAGTTTAAAAGACTGACAAAAAGGTTTAAGAAAGGGGTAGGTCTGCCTGGTGTGGCTCAGTGGTTGAGCGTCGACCCAGGCACCAAGAGGTCACCAGTTCAATTCCCAGTCAGGGCACATGCCCAGGTTGTGGGCTCAGTCTCCAATGGGGGGCATGCAGGAGGCGGCCAATCAATGTTCTCTCTCACTGATGTTTCGTTCTCTCTCTCTCCCTCTTGCTTCCTCTCTCTCTCTAAAATCAGTAAAGAAAAAATTATTTAAAAAAAAAGAAAGAAAGGAGTAGGTAGTGAAAAGGGTAATCTAGAAGAATAGTCTTGTGAAAACTACCATTGATATTTAACTAGTTGTTTATTAGGGGAAAACTCCACATCATAATAGGTTAACACCGTTCAGGTTCTAAGCATGTAGTAATCCTTCTTATTTGAATTTGTACAGAAGTCACCTATAAACCTACTTTTAAAAAGGTTTTGAGAATGATCTTGTTTTGCTGACTACAGGCCAGCCTGCACCCCCGGCACCGTTCTGCGGAGTCTGCTGCACACGGCGTGGCCTTCGGCTGCAGGCGGCTCTCGGAGCCTCTTGCCAAAGGACCTGCAGCGTGGAGAGAGGCTCGAGGGCTCTGGGGTCAGACAGGCCTTTGAAGCCCAGAAGCACTCACTGAAACTCTCTGAGCCTCATCCATAAAAGAGGGAAGTCAACTCCCATGTTATAAGTTATAAGTCCACTGGGCACATTAGATAAAACAATCCGTGGAAGATTCCTGGGACTCAAACCCCTGGAGTTTTCACTGAGGTCCATTTAATATGAAGCAGAATTCTCACAAGTTCCTTAAAGCATTCATCAAGATTTTCCCCAAAAAATATTATTAGTCGATATCTGAAAGAGGAGGAAGAGGAGAAGGAGGAGAAGGTGGAGGACAAGGAGGAAGAAGAAGGGGAGGAGAGAGGAGGAGGAAAAAGGGAAAGAGAGGAGGAGGAGGAGGAGGAAGAAGGGGAGGAGAGAGGAGGAGGAGGAGGAGGAAGGGGAGGAGAGAGGAGGAAGAAAGGGAGGAGAAGAAGAGGAAGAGGGGAGGAGAGTACCAGAAAAGTACCACTACCAGAAAAGATGACTCTCATGCTCTTACTAGCAGATGTTTATTGACCAGGTCTCTGCCTGTGTTTTTAATAAAACAAATGTGTGTCGCTGGTACACAGAAGTGGGGTGGAAGGGAAATCCAAGTTTTCGAAGTAAATAGAGGCAAAGGTCAGCAAGAATATGGGGCTAGGTACACAGAGTCAAGGTATCTTGACTCTAAAGGTGGCTTATTATTTCAGAGGGAGAAATGCACCTTCACTATGGAAAGACCTGGCAATCACCCACTCGACCAAGTGATTAAACTTAGCATCACCAGTGAACGCCAGGCGCATGTAATATAAAACACAGCATCAGCCATGAAGTAGTCTGACCAAAAATGTTTTGCCTGAGTCTAATCAAACCTTTAGACGGAACTTCTAGCACACAAGAAATATAAGGAGTGGAGAAACCAGGTAAGTGACACCATGAGGAAATAATCAGACAAATCTAGAATGCGGGACATTCCACAAATCAACTAGGCCTTCAAAGGTCTATGTGATGGAAAAAGAAAAATGTCGAGGCACTCCCTGTTCTAGATTATAAAATGCTAATGAGCCAGGTCCAATGTATGAGTGAATCTTGCCTGGCTCCTGGTTTGAGGGCATTTGATTATGGAGTGGATACATGAGGATGTTAGGGGAATGATTATTAACTTTTTTAGGACATTAAAACTCCTGCAGTTATATAAAAGAAAGTCCTTACTTCAACTTTTTGTATGCTTGAAAATTTGTCATAATAAATGTTAGAAAACATGCAGGCAAAGCAACAAGCAACTTACTCCTCTGTGCCCTAAATGGAAATTTCTTTCTTTTGCATTAAACAATAAAAATAAATTTAAAAACTCTTGTGTCATTGATCTCGGGCCAGTTACTGGGGACTGGAAATGGTTCAGACACCCTCTATAACAGGTTCTGGGGACAGCAGTTGTACTGTGGAAAAGGCATAGCCCTCTTAACTGTATATCATTTTCACTGTCCTTTGAAGCCTTATTATTCCCACACCAAGGATCCTGTCATCACATAGCAAATGAGTTATTAGATGCACCTGGCACTTGCTTATTTACCATTTTTTATAAAGTAAAATCCTTTATCTTCTTTTAGTTGGACTCCAGTAGAGAAACACAGAAAAACAAATATCACACCCAGCAAAACTGCTATTCATCCCTTCCAAGGGTTCACATCCGACCCTCAGAAGTTTGGTGTTGAAGGGGCAGCGAGTGCAGGGAGCTGCAACAACCACACAGACTTCTGGGAACTGCAGCTGGTAGGCAGCTGGTGGCTACCAGGCCTCACATGAGAACCCTGTGCTTGACCCAGGCAGCCCTGTCCACAGAAGCTGATTCACGCAAGTCAACTCACTGAATCCAAAAGCCTCTGATTTTCAGAAAATAATAATGGATTATGCTCCCAAGTTCATGTAATTGAAGGTTTTCAACCGGCAATAAAAATAGGTTTGGATAAACTTTAGGACTTGTGATGTTGCTTCTACATAAAGACAACCTAGTCATATGATATCATTCAAGTTTGTTTGTTGTTTGTTTAAGTGGTGCGGGTGGAATGTGAGAAATGCAGCTATGGAGGTGATGAAGTATGTTCTATGTAGTCTGAGTACTTTGCCACTCAAGCTGCTGGGGGCAGGAAGGAGAAGCAGCAACTTCGCTCCACACATCAGCTACTTCTATTCTTTCTGGAAGCTTTCTAGAAGGACAATTAGAAGATAAACTTGATAGCCTGGCTGGTGTGGCTCAGTGGTTGAGCATCGACCCATGCACCAGGAGGTCACCGGTTTGATTCCCAGTCAGGACACATGTCCATGTTGTGGGCCCGATCCCCATGGGGGGACATGCAGGAGGCAGCCAATTTGTGTTCTCTCTCATTGATGTTTTTCTCTCTCTCTTTCCCTTCCTCTCTCTCTAAAATCAATAAAGAAAAAAACACTTTTTTAAAAGATAAACTTGATAAATTAGAGCTTGTCCAAAGGTAGGCAGAGAGAGAGAGAGAGAGAGAGAGAGAGACTACCTTATAGTCAAAGTTTTGTATTACTTGGGAAAACAGTATGAAGTGGGAGTCTGAAAACTAGTTCAAAGAGCTCTCAACTTTTTTATTCTCTCCCAAACTGAAACACACCACCTTAAAGCCAAACATAAGTAAACTGAAACTTAATGCTTATAATACATATGTAATACATTGTGTATAAATATAAATATACATAAAAGCTCCAGGAAAATGTGAGTTTCCTTTTGATTTTTGACTTCAGCTTATTTGAGAAAACAGGAAAGTCTTACCTAGGTACAAGGATGCATTTTCTTTCTTGACATTGTCATCTAAGTAGGTTGGTCCCAGGGTATAAATAGGTGTGGAGCCCATTCCGATCAGAATCTGTGCACACACGAATAAAGCCACGTAGACCCAGTGATTGTTTCCTCCTAAATCCTTCAGGCAGGCAGGAGGCTCCAAAGTCCCCGTGGAGTTGCCATTCTGACACAGGCCGTCGTTGGAGGCTGAGGCATTCAACTCTTGGATCTGGTAGGGAGGCGAGATGAAGTGAGGTAAAGCGAAGAGGGCAGCTCCGAGGGCGATGAGAAGTCCACCCACGGCCAGCCACAGAGGCCGCCGACCCCGGCCACCAAAGTAGCTAACAAACACCACCACCACCAGGCTCCCAATGTCAAAGCAGCTGACCAGCAGTCCTGACTCGGAACTCTTCAGACTGTAGCGCCTCTCGATGGTGGTGATGACACTGCTCAAGTACCCGGAGACCATTAACGCCTGGATGAAGGTCAGAAAGCACATACAAACCAGGAAGCAACGTGAATCAGTGAGGACCACATAGAGGCACCTTCTCCCCTGAAGCGTGGCCAGTGTGGAGGACATGGACATGGTTTTGCTGACGTCTATCCTGTGGTTGCAGTCCACGAGTTCCGCCATCTCCGTTGAAGTGGAGAGGGCAGAGGGGCTGGGCGCCAACCGGCTCAGGCATTGTTTCAGCTCCTGGTGGCCCAAAGAATGTGTACCGCCCGGCTTGTCACCTACACCCGCAGGGCTGAGATCTGGTCGACAGGAGGTGCTGTTCAGGGCGGGTAAACTTTTGGACCTAAAGGTCTCTAGTTCGCACTTTTGTTGGACAGCTCCTACTGTGGCCGGGGCTCTGAGCTGCTCTCTCGCCTTGGGCTGCGGCCCATTGCTTTTGTCCATGGCTCTTCGAGTTCAGATTCGATCGCTGATCGCATTCGAGGACTCCGGTGCTTTTCATCCACCGACACGAGGGGCCGAAGCTGGGCCCACGCAGTCGTGCCCACCAAGGACCCAGGCTGTGGGATACAGAGCTACGCAGCAGGACATCCTCACCAACAGGGAGGCGCCCAGGGCATTCTGACCGCAGGCACAACCCCGAGGTTCTGCAGCCGCGTGTCCCGTGGGGCGGGGGTCCTCCAGGTCCTACGCTGAGCTGGGCTCCGGGTCCACCTCCGGGCGGTAGCTCGCAGAAGGAGCCTTGCGGGTCCAGGGCACATCCCCTCCGTAGCTTCAGCAGCTCCGCCCGTTGCCCGGAGCGAGAACGCCCCGTGCCAGGCCTGGGGCACTCAGCACTGATGCCCGCGCTTCATCCCACCCAAGAGGCGTGCAGTCCTCCCCGCCTCGGCTCGCGACACCCTCGGGCACAAAGATGCCAACCTGTAAAGCAGAGAGAGGGCGGTCAGCGAAAGGCGGCTGTGGCTAGGGCTGGCGTCAGGGCGCCCCGGCTGTGGCTAGCTAGCGCTGAATGATTCGGACTGTCCCAAGTGGGACCGAGGGATGAGCGAGGAGCCAAACCCTGGAGGAGGTGGTGGCTGCAGGATGCGTCTCTGGTACCGGAACAATAAGAAGCAGCAGGAGGTCGGCAGAGACCCTCCTTCATTGTGTATTGAGGACCGGCCCCCGCCCCGCCCCTTTCGCCATAACAGCGCATCTGTTTTTATATGTTAATAATTATCAACCTGGCAGCTCTGACTCAGAGGCAGTGTCTTTTATTCCAGTGAACTAATTGCAACCTTTTGGTACTCCTACTCGATTAACTCAAAATAGAAAATGCCCAAAGAACAAAGGAAAGTTTTTTTTCTTTTTATAAACACAATGCATTCCCAGTCCCAATTTTCAAAAAGAAAAGAAAAGGGAAAGCTACATGTGTAGAAATGTGTGTAGACACTTGTGCGCAGGCACGTGCGCGCGATTGGTTGTGGATTTGTCGACTCCATCAATTAGAGACATACTCAAAGCCCAAAGCAGCCGCAAAAAAGGTCAACTTGCTAGCCTCTCTTTTCCCAACACTAAAAATAACGCAACACCCCCCCCTCGAAAGAACTCTTCAATGACAAATACCAGGAGCGTTTGAGGCCACGGACCACGCCGAGTCCCAGCGCCCAGTGTCAAGGGAAACCGAAAATCAATTTGCTCTGCGCAGGGGTGGGGAAGCCACAATCAAACAAAGGGATGCGGCCACCAGCCACCGGGGCCTCAGGAGCAGTCCTGGCAGTAAGGGGCCATCTGAGATGTGTGCTATTTACATCGAGCGCACTCCGAGAGGGTGGGCCCGGGATGCGCGCTCGCGAGCGTATGCGCGCACGCAAACACACACACACGAAATGTATGTATAGGAGCCCCTCCAGCGATCCCGCACCAGGCTGAAATCAGCGAGAGCTGAAAACAGGTGTGTCCCTGGGATAAGCCCCCGCCCCTAATCTCAGGGCCACCCGTTCTATTCCTCCAGCCCAGGGGGGGTGTGCACCAGGTGGAAGAGGACAGCAGGACTGCGCTGCATTGGGTTTCATTCTGCAGCGCGCTTTTGTGATGCTGCTGAGAAAAGAAAGGAGGAAGGGTGAGGGAGAGAGGCGGAGAGGCTGCGCGGACAGGGGCGGCCGCTCCAGCGTCTCGGTCTCTGCTGGCCAGACACGCTCCCAGATTCCCCGCCTGCCAGCAGCTCACAGCCCGGACTTCCCCGCCGCCTCCCGGCCTAGGCGCCTTCCCGGGAAACCCCACTGGCTGGCGCGAAGAGCGGGGGAATCCCGGCGAACTCCGTCCGGCGCCGGGGGCGGCGGAGCCCCTGCCCAAGCGGACACCCACACCTCAGCGCAGACCCGAGTGGACAGGGAGCTCTCGGAGCCAGAGTGGAATCCCAGGGAAACCCACTGCATGCGCGTGCGCGCACACACACGCATACACACACAAAGCCCGCGCGGGGGACAAGACTGCCGGGGACAGCTCGCCGTGCGGCGGGGGCGCACAAGCCGCGGCTACTCACTCGTGAGTCTGTGTGTCAGTCTGGCTGGTGAGAGTGGAGCGGCGGGAGGCGCGGACTGTGCCCCGTGCGGCAGCAGTTGGGAGCCGCCTGGGGAGGCAGCATCGGTCCCGCAGCCGAAAAATCAGTGAATGAGACTGTGACTCAGGCTGAACTCTTCCCCCTCGCCTCGCCTGTCACCCAAGCCTCTCTTCCTCTCCAAATAGACACAAGCGCACAGAGACGCGCTGTGAGCGTTGCAGCAGAGGGCGCAGGCGCGCAGACGGCCGCCCAGCCCAGCCCGAAGGCGGCAGCTATCCAGCTGCCCTTCACCTAAGCGGCGGGGGGAGGGTGAGGAGCCCTGAAGCCTCCAGGGAGCAGATCTCAAGTAGTCAGTGGCTGAGGCAGAGAGTCCATTCTGAATAAAGAAAATACTTCTGTTCGTGGGCACTCACAATGTCTCAGGGACCATAGCAGGTTTGGGGGACCAAAGATGAACAGGACAGGATCCCTCCACTAAGAAGCCACTGTCTTATGGAATACCCCTGTAAGTAGCCTAAAACAATGCTGTAAATTCTATCCTGGGTGCTACTGGAGAACCTAAGATCCATTAACCTATTAGATCCACATTTCCAGGCAGAAAGAAAGTCATGTGCAAAAGTACAGGGGCATGTGGCAGCAACTACTTTGGTAGGTGCTAGGTGTTGCACTGAGACTGCAGGGATGGGGCAGAGGAGGAGTGAGGGAGCAGCAGAGTAGAAAAGGTCAGCAAGGGCTTCAGAGGTTGTGTGCCGTGGGCATGGAGGGCCAGTGGCATTGTGATGTGCTCACCAGAAAACTGGTTCTGGTAGTGCTGGGTGAATCAAGGCCACACTGAGGTCACTGAGACAAGTTAGGAAGCTATCCCTGAGCAAAATGTGATGACGCAGTAAATTAAAAAGGGGTGTGTGGGGGTGGGGAGACTAGCTGAAGATGCACTGAGAAAATAGAAGTGGCCAGACTTGGAAACTGAAGTTATCTGGTACATGAGAAACAGGCCAATGTAGGATGTCTCTCAAGTTTCACTTGGGAGACTGAGTGACTGAGGTCCAATGAAAACACAAGAGGAGAAACATGCTCTTGGGGGAAAGATGGTTCTTATTTAGAGAGGTTGACTTTGGCATACCTTTGTGACATCTGAGTGTACATGCCCCATAAACCATTTGATATATGACACACAGGAAGTTTGGACTGGGGACATGGATTAGGAGTCAACAGCCCAGAGTTGGCATGAGGTGAATAAGGAAGCTCATGCAGAAGTCAAATAGGATGACAGCTAAAAGAGCGCATGAGCTACAGCAAGAAGGTCCCTGTTGAACTCTGACAGAGGGAGATCGTTCTACAATTACTGCTGACTATGCTGGCTATTACTGCCACACCAGAGCCACCTCACTGGACCTGGCCTTATGCAATGAGAGCATTGTCTCCACTTCACAGATGTGATGAATGAAGTGTAGAGAGATTAAATATCTTGGTTAAGGTGCATAGCTCATCTGTAGATGCTATGAACTCATGTGCTCTAAAAGTCCGTGCTCTTAACCCTGACTCTATATTCTCTCCCTTACAATTGAAGAGCATCATTATATCTGTTAATGATCTCACTTTGGTCCAATAACCACCATATCTACAGTTGACCCTTAGAGAACACCCCCGTCACTGCCCCCTCTTCTTGAGATCTCCATCAAGCCCCACACTGCTTTTTCACAAACAGGCCATGTAACTCCAGTAGCCACCCCGCCCAGTAGGCAAAGCTTTGTGACACTTCCTGTACCTGAATACTGATCTGCACTTATTCTGGATTCAAACAGAATTGATCTGTTTCCTATTACATCCTTCCAAGCTCTTCGGCCCATTCTTTCATTTCAGGCCCAGCCCAAACATACAGCTGTCCTATAGCAAACTCAATCCGCCAGGTGCCAACAGAGAGCTTCCCTGTGGAAAGTCAAATAACCATTGCCCTGGAACATGTTGTGTTTATTCATGGTCAATTACCATAGTTATACCAGAAACAACTCTAAGAACCTATAGACTTTTTGTTGTCACAAATAGAAAATCATGATTTATAGACAGGATTTAAAAGTCCCGATTAGCTACCTATATAGGAAACAAGAAAACATTTAGCAAGAGACATTTTTTTTTTTTTTTTTTTGCTTTCTCTTTCATAGTTAAATATGACTTTGGAAAAGGCCAGGTGTATCTCCATTAGCCCTAATCTTCGGATTCATAGGATGGGGTTCTGCTACCCCCCATGGTTTATGCCACTCGATCTAAAAGAATACAGCTGGCCAGCGCAGGACACCTGTCTTGTGAGGATATTGGGATCAAGAAGCACATGACTAAAGACTCTCTTCAAATGTCCAGGCTTGTTTATGCTCCTTCTAAGTCATTAATCAGTCTAACTCACACTTAAATTGCTTCTTTCCTAATGTTTATATAACAGTAACCTTAGGAATTACCTAGGGAATTCTATGTGCTTAAAATGGAGCCGCTCCGGAGAATGGGGCGGGGAAGCAGAGGAGCCTTTTCTCCACCCCCTTCCCTCCCTCCTTAAAGAGGGGTCACCTCAGGGGTCTCCCAGACACCACGAGAACTGAGTTTCGGTCCAGAATATTTTCTGGGCTTAAAATGTGATACAGAGTTGCCACTGCCATAATTGAATTAAGTAATGGTTATTTAAGAGGGAACAAATTATATCTTTAAGGTAACCCTTTTATTAATATTGAAATGCAGCTATATTCACAGACCCTGAAGAGGTATCCAGATTATTAAGCTCTAGGACATATTAAACTATACATCTATCCTGATTCAAAATTAAAAAGAGTTTATGGTATGACTGATTTCCTCTATTTTTTTTAATTTAATTTAATTTTAACTGAGATCTAATTGACACATAGCATTGTATGAGTTCTAAGTGTACAACATAATTATTTGAAATATGTTATATTGAGAAGTGGTCACCATAGTAAGTGTACTTAACATCTATCACCACACATAGCTACAGTTTGTTTTCTTGTGATGAAGATGTATAAGTTCTACTCTCTTTTCAGCCATGCAGAGCAGTACTTCTGACTGCAGCAATTGTGAACTCTTAGCAGCACCCTCGCTTGGAAGTCCACTGCGAGTTGGGCGAACAAAAGAGGAGCAGCTCTAGCCCTGGCCGGTTTGGCTCAGTGGTTAGAGCGTCGGCCCATGAACCAGATTTGATTTCCGCTAAGGGCATGGACTTCGGTTGCAGTTTGTCCCCACCCCGGTTGGGGTCATGTGGGTGGCAGCCACTCGATGTGTCTCTCTCACATCGATTTTTCTCTCTCTCTCTCTTCCCCCTCTCTCCCTCCTGCTTTATCTGAAGATGAATGCAAAAAAAAAAAAAAAAAAGAGTAGCAGCTCTGGCCTTGGGAAACCATGAAAGCTGACAGTCACTCTGGCCCTGTGGCTTGGGGTCCCTGCGAGGGCTAAAGGAGCATGCGGACCAACTGAGTCAGCTTCAGCAGTGCAAGTCCCACGGCCCAGGAAAGCAGACTCTTGAACACGGGGACATCCTCTGAAAGAGCCCAGCAACTGGGCAGCGCCCCTGGGAGGCATCTAGGACAAGAAGACAAGACTATCAGTCAGGACCTTCTAGAAACTGCCACTTCCCTTAATAAAAGCAAGTCAGATATTCCACGGCTAGTAAGGAGGTTCCCTGTGAATAGGCGACATTTGCCCCCAAAGATTCACATTCCCTTAAAAGATTTTCAAAATTACCACTGCTGCCACCTGGGTGTAGGAAAAAAGGGAGGACGGGCAGGAAGCTGAAGGAAGGAGGCTGGAGAAGCAGTCGGCCTTGGGCCCTACGCTTCTCCGCTCGTTCTCCGTGGGCATGCCAGGAGTGCCAGACCCTGCCCACTGGATCCGGGCCCCTTCTCAGGGCTGTTTGCAGCCAGCAACCTTGAGGGCTGAGGTAACACTCTGCCCTGGTAAAGCAGGCTTGCTTCTGCTCGCTCCGGGGTAGCCCCCAGGCCCAGTGCTCCTCCCCCGCAGTGCGACTCACTGCTGGTGCAGCAGCTCCCAGGGACTCTGCATCCCACCGTGGGACTCGGGGGCCTGGGAACAGGAACAAAATCATGCCAACGCTGCCTGCTGTTTCTGCCATGAGTAACAATGCCCACTGTCTCTGACTCTCTCTCCCCAGCATCCATGAAACAGTAGCAAGGTAACTTGTTAGCTTGGATGAGGACAAAACCCTAGACCCTACCCAATTCCTGACAGATCACCACCACCCACAATTTTAACATTCTGACCTAGACACGAGCTTCCCTTACACTCTATTATATATCTGAGCCAAACCCCTGAGCTTTTAAACAGACCTCTCGGCGAGTCTTACGGAAAATAAGTACATAGGACAACATAACTATGTCAAATATGGTTGGTTGGCACTCAGTGTGCAGTCCTGAGCTTCCTATTCTTCCTTGAATGGCAGAGTCTGGACAGCTAAGAACAAACAAACAAACAAAAACTACATTTCCCAGACTCCCTTGCAGATCTGGATAAGAACTGACTGAGGCAGAGGCTTAATCCTTTTTGGCTGTCTTATGCCAGCAAGCAGGTCCTGAAGACATGGTCTGCTGCAGTCTGCAGCTGTCCAAACCTCAACTTCTGGGTGTTGAGAGGCAGCTGCAGCTTTGGGTCTCTGGATCCAGCCACAGCGGAGTGTCCCGAGGTCCAGGGACCAGGGAAGGCCTTTGATTCCCCACCCTCCAGACTGTGGCAGATATACCAGCTTTCCCAGCAGGACATATTTGCAGTGTTCTTTTTTTTTAATCCTCACCTGAGGATATTTTTCTATTTGTCTTCAGATAGAATGAAGGGAGGGCGAGAGAGAGAGAGAGAGAGAAACATCGATGTGAGAGGGACACATTGATTGGTTGCCTCCTGCACGACCTTGACCAGGGACAGGGATGAACCACAACTGAGGTAGTACCCTTGACTGGAATCAAACCCAAACCGGCCTGGGCCAGATCTGCAGTGTTCTAAAAGTCATTTCAGGTCGCCTTACCTACAGACCATTTGCCCAGCCTCTCCCCAGGTTTTATAAGCACATAACTTCCTATAGGGAACCCTTTCTGCCGAAAAGCCC